CTTGTCGTCAATTTTGAGTAAAAGAGGTACAAGTAAACATTATTCCTATACTTTCATACTTTCATTTATTCATACTTTCATACTTTCAATTATTCCTATACCTTATACTTTTGCGGGATGTTTACTAATATAAAGCAGATCACTACTTCCCATCACTATGTTTTACAAAGCAAATTAACGCCCTAAACCTGAGGATTTTGGTGCTTATTAGGCCACATATTAGAGTAATTTTGCCTACCAGAATACAAGTAGCTAGCCTCAAAAGTATGTCAACCTTTAAGGCTTTCATATCTTATACCCTACTTAGATGCCCGAGATACCGTCGATGAAGACCGGGAGGAAAAGCCGACAATTAATTCTGATGGTAAGGCCAATGGAGAAGTGAAGAAGTCTAAAGGAGCTGCTGCTGCAGAAGTGATAGTTAAAGCCCAGGGTCCAGAGCGGATGACAAATTTAAGAACGAAATTTGAAAAGTCTGAATCTGAAGATGTCGAACATACTAGTGCCGTCAAGCGACCTCCCACTAAAGTCAAGTATGCAGGCATTAACTCCGCCAAATTCCGACTTATGGAAGAGGTGAACAAGAGTTCCGCCAGTGAAGCCACGGCAGGGCCGCCTAAGCAGCGTTCCATTACACCGCCAAGGGCAGGCGTGGCTACCGGCGTGCTTGAGAGTCAGCCTCAAGCTAGACTAGAGGGCGTGATTGGGGCCGATGACCAGTTGGAGCAGGTCGACCTGACCAGACTGGGAGAACATACAAGAACACTCAGAGCCAAATTTAAGAAGATGGAAGAAACTGGCGGACAGGTACAGCTACAAATAAATAATAAAAATTAAAAAAATATATATATGTAGGTATAGCTATATACCAGTTAACTTAATCTCCGATTACTTTTTACGAATAATTAATTGTCCAATAGCAAATAGTGACAAGTTGAGGCGCCTTCTTTTGGACGGTGGCTCAACTCGCTCCCTGTTATTCAATCTTTCAATCAAGCATAGATTTAACAATGTTTAGAATAGGCGAAACTAACCCCCCAAATTGCTGGCTGGATAGATGGATGAATTTTTTGTCCTCTGGCCTCATGATAAGGAAAGTTTATATAATTTTTGAACTTACTTTCATGTGTTTGTTGAAGAGATTCGAAGGTCTATTCCACCAGAAGACGACTGCGGATTCCTCTTAACCAGCTGTAAATTGGCTTTACGGGAACATTTATGGTGACGCTTTTTCTGAGGTAATCTCCTTCAATTCCTATGAAAAGGTGCTAAGCTTTCGTCCGTCATATGGCGAACCTCAACAGAGCAAGATATCATCGTCACAACCGAATTCAAGCTAACGAGTCAAGAAAACTCACCGGCAAATCCCTAAAAAGCAGTACTGTCCTAATTACTTTGAGCCATAACTGCGGGTTTCGTGCATAAGCAAACAAAAACAGGCACATACACATACAGAGACAGACACACTCACAGCCTTCGAGGTTGAAATATGACCGTAACTAACCAAATTACTTTATACATGATCAAAAAGACCAGCTATAGAATATATATACCGCTTTTTAGGGATTTGCCGGTGAGTTTTCTTGACTTGTTAGCTTGAATTTGGTTGTGACGATGATACCTTG